GCTCCTGCCCCTGAATTAAGATGTTACAGAGACCTTTGGTGGTGCTGCAGTGCATCCCTGACTTCTCCTAGTCCTCTCTCCTCTCTTCAGCTAAAAGAAGCTTAGGAATCCCTGGATCCAGGCCAGAGAGAGTACAGGGGTGAACTAAGCTTCCACCAGCGAGATTCCTGTGCTGAATCCTCCTTCATCCCCAACTTAGGAGTGAACACCACTAGATGTGATCTCAAATTCTCTGAAAAAGAAGAAAAAAGACCTAGATGGGAACAATTCACCCCTTTTCCCAAGTTTCTGGGTTATGACAGTTTGTCCATGACCATGCTCTTAACTTATAATAAGTTTTATGGCACTTGGCCTGTCCCTTTTTGATAACAGGGTAGTATACAGTTTGTACCTTTTTGATGCTTGTGTAGATTGCATTTGCCCTGGATCCATCCAAGTCCCTCACTGGGACCTTCCTTTTGGGGTGTTATGAACTGAGGATAACTAAGGCTTACGCTGAGTAAGTATGACAGATGCCCAGAAATAAATATTATTCAGAGTCAATTAACTCCCAAGTTACAAAAGCATAGCATTAGCTGTCTTCCTGGGTCTATACAAAAAGTACGTTGCTCTAAAGTAAACTATGCAGACTCAATGTAAATCTCTCAGAAGAGAGCATAATACTACATGCCATAGCCATGCTGCCAGACCCAACACCACACTGTTTCATTTGGGGCAATCCATAGGCGGACGGGTGAAGCCCCTCTCCACCCCAAAGAAGCCAGTCCCAGTAGCTGAAAACTTCCAGAACTCAATCACCACCATGCTCACAGCTGCTCTCCACATGCTTGGGCCGAGGCTCACCCATGAGTGAACTTATTCCTGGACCACATGGCTGCACTTGAGGCTGCACGACATCTCATACCTCACACCACTAATATTCCAAGAGTGCACCACATTTGATGGGGTTTAAAATTGAAGGCAAACAATCTTAGGGGGAAATATATTTTTACATATATATACATATATATAAGTGTGTGTGTGTGTGTGTGTGTGTGTGTGTGTGTGTGTAGAACTGTAGCACTGTCCTCCCATTATTCATTGATTTGCTCAAGCAGGCACCAGTAAAGTTTCCGTTGTGAGACTTGTTACTGTTTTTGGCATATCGAATACACCGCTGGGAGCTTGCCAGGCTCTGCTGTGCGGGTGGGATACTCTCGGTAGCTTGCCGGTCTCTCCAAGAGGGACAGAGGAATCTAACCTGAGTCGGTCGCATGCAAGGCAAATGCCCTACCCACTGTGCTATAGCATCCCTCTTGCATATATATCTATATCTATACATATATATAAGCACACAAGGCTTAATCTTTAACAACATGTTAGTAATCTCTTATATAAGGCTTAATGGCCCACAATCCTCACACACTTCCTTCTAAAGAAACATTTTTGGATAATTTTCAGCAGTTTATTCATAAAAAACAATTAAAAATAAATTGTTTTGATTCTGCTTTGGGGCAGGGGTTGGGGTTTGAAATGGAAACATCCAAAATATGGTGGTGGGAAACATGTAATAGTGGCGGGATTGGTGTTTGAATATTAAATGTAATAAAATACTGTGAACTATTTTATAAAAATATATAAAATGTTAAAAAATATTAAAATCAAATGAGCAAATCAAATAAATAAAATTAAGTAAACTATGCAAAGGACATAAAGGAGAACTGAGACAAAAGTATAGCAGGAGGGCATTTGCCTTGCATGGGGCCCTCCCAGGTTCAATTCCCCAAGTACCACTGTCCTCCTGAGTACCACCAGAAGTAATTCCTGAGTACCAAGCCAGGAGTAAGTAACCCTTGAGCATTATTAGGTGTGACTCAAAAGCAAAAAAAAAAAACACGGACATAAAGGAAAGAGAAAAACAATATTTCGCTTGCATATATAAAATACAGAATCCTCAGAAGAATCTGATTCTACAAGTCACAGGGTCTGATTTGGGGATATAAGTGATTAACAGGGAGGGAAAGCAGAGCACAAAGGAGAAGTTAAAGATAAACAGAGGAAAATGGGAGTGTCTTGGGAGCATTGTGAAGGGTGTTACTCAATAAACCTAAGCTCCTTGCAGTGGAGAAGAAAGGATGAATCAATGTTATTCAACAATGTACAGTCCTTGTAATATCTTTTTCTTTTATTCTTTGCCCAGTATTAATGCTTTGTGTTAATTCTTTTGTGTGTTGAAACAAGGTCCAGTTACGAAGAGAGGATGGAGAAGAAAACAACTGGCCCTCCAGAAAGACTCTTCAAGGTTAGTTTGAAGACTCAGGAGAAGTATGGTTGCCTGACCATGTCACACAAGGATCTCACCATTGGCGCCCACCCTGATGGCCTCAAGACAAATCCCTCTTTTAACTTATTTTCCCAACCAGCTCTATATAAGCCTCTGTCTTCCCCAGTGGAGAGGAAGGTGGATTTGGGGGAGGAACATGAATCATCATCTTGATGCAGGCAGGTAGGTTAGGGAAGGTCTCCCTCCCGCCCCACCAACATGATGGCAATGAAATATCTGACAGTAATAAAGCCACCAGTCCTAAGTCTGACCCACTTTGTGGATACAGATAGCAATACCTGATAAGACTTTCTCCTGCAACAGACCCTGACTGGACCTCTCCCTACAGAAAGAGCCTGAAGGAATTTACTGGTCACGACGATCATGACCACGATCACGACCATCCTGTTGTTCATCGATTGCTTCGAGCAGGCCCCAGTAATGTCTCCTTCGTCCTAGCCCTGAGATTTTTAAAAAAGTGCCATAGTCAAGGCTCTTTCAGGGTTAGGAGAATGAGACCCATCGTTGTTACTGGTATTTGGCATATTGGGTATGCCACGGGGAGTTTGCCAGACTCTGCCGTGTGGGCAGGTTACATTCGGTAGCCTGCCAGTTTGTCCAAAGTAGGAATGAGATAATAAGATGTCAGCCCTGATCCGAGCAGGCTTGGAGGTCTCAGCCCCGGGACCCGCATGCCTTTGTTCCTCTGCCGGTACCTTCATGCGTGTGGAGAGTTGTCTGCATGGTGGTGGCTGGTTCTGGAGGTCTTTGGCTGCTGGAGCCCTGGTCGGGGCGGGGAGGGAAACTCAACCCGCTCCCCTCCAAGGGGCCCCGGCGAGGACAGCCAGGCGCGGGGGCAGGAGATTCTGCGCTATTCTCTTCCGCGAGCTGGGTTTTATAGTCTCTGGGTCTTGGCCGTTGATGGGATTACACGGCGCCAGGAAAACCCTCAATTCCTTCCCTTAATCTGACTAACCTTCAGCTAGCCCAGACCAGAGAAGGCTGGACCCATCCTCTGAGAGAAGATTCAGCAGGACCAAAGATCAAGAAAAGGAGTTCTACCCACTTAGCAACAACCCTAGCAATGAACTCTTATCTAGGTAGAAGCCCCACATGGGGGCAGGTTGGAGAAACCCTATAAAGCCACCTTTTACCACTTCCACAAAGGAAGGGCGCACATATGCTGCCCTAGTCCATGTGCTACTTGAGCCCACATGGTCACGCACATGTTGTGCCCAAGCACAGGTGTCGCCCACATCTCTCCACTTGAGATGTGTATTTTCATGCTTTCCTGTCTAATGCTGGGATGTGTGTAGGGGCTCTCTCCACCCTTGGAGAAGCCCACGTTCTCTCTTGATCACATTACTCTCCACTCTCTCCTACTTTCTCTTCCTTCTTCCCATCAAAAAATCCAAATAAAATATGTTTTGCTTCACTGCTCATCTATTCCTGAAATTCTTTTCTGTGAGGTGAGACAAGAATCCAGTAACCCTGGATCTTGGGTGGCAGAGGCAGATGGGGAGAAAGTGACCATCTTTGTCCTCTCCGCTTCACATAAGCCACCCGTGGACCCCACTGACATCAATCTCAGGCTTAGGGCCACAAATAAACCCTTTTCTCACACCAACTTGTCTCATAAACAGTTGGCCTTTGAAATGTGTGCACCAGAACTTGGGTTTTATAAAAGTCCATTCTTTTTTCTTTTTGGGTCACACCCAGCGATGCTCAGAGAATATCTAGATATTGCTGGCTCTGCATCATGAATACTCCTGGCAGTGGTTGGGGACCATATGGCATACTAAGGATCAAACTCAGGTCGATCACGTGCAAGGCAAAAGCCCTACCTGCTGTACTATCACTCCGGCCCTAATTTTTTTTTTTTCAGTTTTGAGGTCACACCTGGTGGTGTTCAGGGCTGACTCCTGGCTGTGTGCTCAGGGACCACAACCTGGCAGAGCCGGTAAGGGGAAACCTGGAGTGCTGGGATTGAATCTGGGTTGGCTACATGCAAGGTAAGCTATGTGCTGTAATATCTCTCTGGCCCCCAAAGTACAATCTCACTTTCCTACAAAATACACCCAAGTTAATGGTCTTTGAATTAGGCATTAACTCCAACATTACTTTTTTCTTTAAATTTTTAATTGAATTACAAAGCACTTATAATTGTTTTTTAATACCGGCTGTGCTATAGCTCCAGCCCACAACAACTTTTTTTTTTTTTGCCTGTGGGGGTCGGGTGTGGGGTGTGGGGTTGTTGGGAGGGAAGAGTTGGGTCACATCCGGCAATACACAGGAGTTATTTCTCCTCTAGGCAGTGCTGGGGTTCACATGGGGTACCCAAGCCGACCTTATCCCCTGTACTATTCTTTGGCACCCACAAACAAAAAAAGAATCATTGCCCCTCCCTCCCTGTAGATCTCATTTTAAGTGTTGATATGTCGTATTCACATCCGGGTAAAGTGCTCTTCTTGGCCATTTCTGCTGGTTTCGGCCATAGCACAGGAGGCAAGCGAGGTTCCTTTAGGATTGGGTGCAGGATAACGTTCAACAATCCTTCACTGGTCCCGTAGCGGCCGAAACTACATTACCCATAAGGCAGTGCGACCGGGGGGGGGTTGTCCTGGCTCCAACCAATCAGATCACGCGAGAGGAGTATCAGCGTCGCGGCAAGTCTCGCGGTACTCTAGAGGCCGTCTTGGGCTACCCTGGAAGTGACTTCCGTTCCCTGTGCACGCCACTTGGTTAAGTGTTCCATTCTTCCCGACCTGCGATGGCGTTAGCGACGGCGGCGCCTACAGGCTTTCCACACGTGAGTGCTTCCCTGAGGGTACCTGGGCCTCCCCGTAAAGAGGCTCCCGTGTAGGGAGTCAGACGCGCTTGGGCACCGAAGACTGCCCGACCGGGCGCCGCGCGGGATTGACTCGTCTGAGCCCCGTCAGGGAGGGCGACAGACCCGCCTAGCCTCACACACTAACAGCGGCGGCATCTGCCTGCCGTGGCCCTCACGATTCGGGACGGGCGGAGTGCGCGGCGCCGCGGTGCGGACGGGAGGATGATCGCGGTGGGAGGTGGGAGATCGATGTGGGCTAGAGAAGACTGAAGTCGGTGGGCCCCCACGGTGGCTTATGTAAGTGAGGCGGAGAGGTGGTAGACGGTCACTTCTGATCCGCCTCTGCCATCCCAGGACGACTGGGAAGGCTAGGGCAGATAAGTCTGTGATGAGCCCACCAGGTGGCCGTCAAGCCATATCTGACCTCCGCTTGGTCTCTACAGCATAGTCGATCCCCAACACCCCATCTCTCCGGGAGCCGCACTCAGGCTAGAGTGAGGAATTGCTCTTTGCAGAAAAGTTAAGTCGGTTCCCTCAGCCTTACCCAGGGTGGACGTCCGGGTCCCTGTCTTTTCTCGCAGAAAGTAGATGAGCAGTGAAGTAAATACAATTTATTTGAAGGGTTTTAGGAAGGGGAGGGAGGGAGATTAAAGGGAGAGTGACACGCTCAAGGGACAACACGGGCTTCTCCAGAGTTGGAGAGAACCCCAGTACACATCTCAAGAGGGGAGATGCAGTGGACACATGTACTTAGGCAGCATATACGCTCTTTCTGTGTTCGAGGTGGCATTTATAGGGATCTTCCTATCTGTCCACATGGGGCTTTATAGCTAGGTGCTAGGGTGGTTGCCAGGGGATTAGTGTAGGGAGAGGTCGAAATTCCTTTCCTGGCCTTTGTTTCTCCTGGAGCTTCTCAGCGGGGAGGAGGGGTGGCAGGGGAGTGGTTAGTCTTCTCTGGGTCTCAGCGCCAGGTCAGTCTTTAATTTTATTATTATTATTTTGCTTTTGGGGTCACACCAAGCTATGCTCTGGGGTTACTCCTGGCTCTGCAGTCAGGAATTACTCCTAGGAGTGCTTGGGGGACCATATGGGATGTCGGGGATTGAACTCAGGTCGGCCTCGTGCAAGGCAAAAGCCCTACCTGCTGTGCTATCATTCTGGTCCCCCAGGTCAGAATCTTAATCAGGCCTTAGTTCCTGTGCTCCCAGGTGGGTCCTGACAGCCTTAGGGCCAGGTCTAGGTGGTTTCACTACTCCCTAGGAACTCTGTTGCCATGGGGACATTTTCCTGTCAGCTGCCTGCCTCCATCACATCGTGGGGGAAGATGGGTTCTCCGCTGCCCATGCCTGGTACAGGTGTAACACCTGGTGCTTTCACGGGAAGTCCATTGTCTCACTTCTGGCCTGCCTTTTGTATATTTTTGTGATTTCTGGCCATATCTGTTGGGGCTCAGGGATCGTTCCCAGCTTGGGGGGACTCTGCGGTAACCCTAATTGGCTGCGTGCAATGATAGCCTCCAAACCACTGTGCTATCGCCTCATTCTCTATTTTATTTATTTATTTGCTTTTTGGGTCACACCCGGCCATGCACAGGGGTCACTCCTGGCTCTGCACTCAGGAATTATCCCTGGTGATGCTCAGAGGACCATATGAGATGCTGGGAATTGAACCTGGGTCGGCCGCTTGCAAGGCAAACGCCCTACCTGCTGTGCTATAACTCCAGCCCCTGCCTTATCCTCTATTTTAAGGTAAATGTTTTAATTTAAGGGTGGGAGGGACAGTATGGGGGTTAAGACACTTGTCCAGAGCACCACCCATTATCATCGTTGTGTTCGTCCTTTCCCCCCTGTCCCCCCCCCCCCCCCCCGTAAAAAAAAAAAAGTTTTACTCGTAGGTGCCTAAGAGTGTAGGAAACCGGAGTGTCCCCTGCTCCTTTTTCATGGCTGGTCCTGGGAGCCCATTGTGGAGTAGGGTTGAACACAACGTGGTTGAACCTGAGTTGGCTGAACCTGGGTTGGCCGGGTGTAAGTCAAGCACCCAGTCTGCTGCCCTCCCATAACTGTGTTTTAACTCCCCCTGAACCTGTCTTCATTGTTGGGATAACAGGCACTCACCCATAGCTCTTGGGGGTTCAACCTCTGACTTGCTGCGATCACACACATCTTAGCCTGGTGCTCACACATTTTCAGCTGCACTCACTGGGGATAGCATACTTTCTGTGTGCTTAAACACACTTGATTGTGGTGTGACTGGAATCACTGGTGGCATCAGGGATTGCAGACAACAGTCTTGCCGGGGTTGGGCTCAGTGGATATGGTCTTAAGGATTTAAGCTCATGACCTTTAGCTTGCAAGGCATGTGCTTTATGCCACTGCATTATAACTCTAGAACTGAAATTGATTAAACATGGTAAAATATAGCACTGTAGCACTGTCGTTCCCATTGTTCATTGATTTTGCTCAAGTGGGCACCAGTAAGGTCTCCATTATGAGACTTGTTACTGTTTTTGGCATATTGAATATGCTATGGGGAACTGCCAGGCTCTGCCATGTGGGCAGGGTACTCTCAATAGCTTGCCAGGCTCTCTGAGAGGGATAGAGGAATCGAAACTGGGTCAGTCGCGTGCAAGGCAAATGCCCTCCCCGCTGTGCTATCACTCCAGCCCGGTAAAATATAGACGAGTAGTAATTAGTTGATACACAGATCTCTGGCATAATGTAAGCTCTTTGGTCTTTTTTCCAGTTGATAGCACAAAGGTCCTTATTATTTTTTTTGTGGTAAGAATGTTTTTAAAAATTCACGTGAATGGGGCTGGAGCAATAGCACAGTGGGTAGGGCATTTGCCTTGCATGCCACCAACCCGGGTTCAATTCCCAGCATCCCATATGATTCCCTGAGCACCGCCAGTGGTAATTCCTGAGTGCAGAGCCAGGAATAAGCCCTGTACATCGCCAAGTGTGACCCAAAAAGGAAAAAAAATTCACGTGAATATGTTAGTGCTAAAGGGGTGATGGAGCCCCTCGTTGACCTTTGAATGGTTCATGTTGCTAAGAAGATGGAATGAAAGACATCCAGCCCCATCCCAGGCCTCAGAGGTTGGGAGATGGAGATTTGGTGATCGATACTCTTATTTATTATTTAATTTGTAGCTTTTTCGTTTGAGGTCCCCACCTGGCAATGCTCAGGAATCAGTCCTAGTGGTGCTTGGGGATCAGACTGAATCCTGGTCAACTGTGCTCAAAACAAGTGCCTTACCTTCTCTCCCACCCCAATCTCTCTGGCCCTAATAAATATTTTTATTTATCATTATTATTATTTGCTTTTTGGGTCACACCTGCAGTGCATAGGGGTTACTTCTGGCTCTGCACTCAGAAATTACTCCTGGCAGTGCTCAGGGGCACCATATCGGATGCTTGGAATTGAACCTGGGTTGGTTACGTGCAAGGCAAACATTCTACCCACTGTGCTATCGCTCCAGCCCCATAAATATATTTTTAAAGTATGGTTTTGGGACCACACCAGGCAGTGCTCAGGGGCTGCTCCTGGTACTGTTCAAAGGAACTTGTGTGTGTGCTGGTTTACTATAAACTTAAAGGAGGAAATTCGGAGTTGATGATATATTGAAGTGATTGGAATTCTGGGCCAGTCTCCAGAGGGCATGGAAGCAGTCACTTTGCCCCTGTACCCCACGACATAAATTTGTCTTATTCAGCTCTTAAGTTGTATATTTATATTCAGTAAATCTAAGTTTTCTGTTATCAGAGTAAATTAACCTGAGGAAGCCCTCATAGGATCTCCACTAAGTATTGCACAAGTACAGTACCCTGGAACATGGGATTTAGCAAGCCTTTTGAAGTGAGGGCAGTTGTAGACTGAACTCTAAAAGTTAAAAAAAAAAAAAAATCAGGCTTTGGGGGCCAGAGCTATAGTACATCGGGGAAAGCACTTGCTTTGTGTGCCACCAACCTTGGATTGATCCCTGTCATCCCATATGTCCCCCCAGCACTGCCAGGAGTAACCCCTGAGCATCGCTGGGTGTGATCAAAAAAGCCCCCCTCACCCCCAAACAATCAGACTTTGATTAAGGGTGTGGCTTGAACCCCACACCCAGCAGTGTCCAGTGTCCAGTTCTGCTCTCTGGGATCACTCCTGAGAGACTTAGGAGACCCATATGCCTGCCAGGAATTGAATCAGGCTTGGACTGTCACAAGCAGGGTGCCCTACACACTGTACTATAGCTCTGGCTACTGCACACTGTACTATAGCTCTAGCTACTGGGCTTGAAATTTATTATTATTATTTTTTAATGAATCACCATGGAATTGGATTTCTGCATCTAGGTGGTGCCTCAGTTTCTCCATCTCCAAAAAGCTCAGGTCTTGCATCTCAAATTTGTCAGGAACCACCCCCACGTCAGTGGATCAATAGAACAGGGGTGCCACAAGGATTAAGAAAACAGCACAGGAAGGAGCCGGAACAATAGTAGGATATTTGCCTTGCATGAGGCCGACCAGGGTTGGATCCCTGGACCTCATATGGTCCCCCAGGCAATGCCAGGAGTAACCCCTGAGCATCGCCAGATGGCCCAAAAAGATAAGAAAAGCGAAGAAAAGAAAAGGAAAGCAAAGAAAACAAGACAGACATAAGAGAAAGCATGGGGTCAGGTTGTTCTAGCCTCCTGGATTGAGAGCTCCATTCTCCATCACATGTAGGATAACATTGGTTTGTCCTTTCTGCCTTGCCACAGGGAGTTTAGTCCTTTCTGCCTTGGGTTACTTCCATCACAGTGCTCCCATTCCTCTGTGCTTATTTGTAACCTCTTTCTTTGTGCTCTGTTAACTTATAAATACTTCTTTTCTCTTCTCCTTAAATCCTTTGCATAGTTAATTTCAGAGCAATGTCCTTTTTGTATAGACACTGTAAGAGATACATTGAGCTTATAGGGTGGCTCTCCTGGCGACATCTCAACGCAGACTCAGACTACAGTGCTCAGACCCTAATTAATCATGGCCTCACCCATTCAAGTGCTCTACCATGGACCTATATTCCTAACCACAAAAACATGTTTTGTTGTTGTTATTCTTGTTGGAGGGGGATGGGCCTGGCCATCTGGGCTATTCCCAGTGCTGCCTGGGTATAAACTTATGGCCTGAGAATAAATCAGCATGAAACAAATAGAAATCTAAGTTAAATACAAAAACAGTGCTTTCCCCCTTTTCCTTGAGATTCAGGAGGGCCAAAGCAATAGACACCTTTTGCTTTTTCTTATTATCTATTTTCTTATTATTTCATTCTACTTTGGACAACCTGGCAGGCTACCGAATGTAACCTGCCCCCACGGCAGAGTCTGGCAAACTCCCCGTGGCGTACCCAGTATGCCAAATACCAGTAACAATGATGGGTCTCATTCTCCTAACCCTGAAAGAGCCTTGAATATGGCACTTTTTAATATCTCAGGGCTAGAGCAAAGGAGACATTACTGGTGCCTGCTCAAGGCAATCGATGAACAACAGGATGATCGTGATCGTGAACCCTAGCAAGGGTCCGAATCTAGTTATTACTTTTGGATCATGACAATTTGTCCGTGACCATGCTCTTACCTTATAGTTAAGTATTATGGCGCTTTGGACAGGCCCTTTTTGATGCCAGGGTAGCTCACTGCTTGCTCTGGATCCGTCTAGTCCCTTGTCGGGACCCTGCTTTTGTAGTGCTAGGAAGTAAGGGCAATTGAGGCTTAAGTTGAGAGAACAGATGCCCTGGAGTGAGTATCATTCAGAGTCAATTAACTCCCAAATTACAAAAGCATAGTATTAACTGTCTTCCTGTGTTCATACAAAAAAAGGACATTGCTCTGAATTAATTATGGAAAGGACTTAAGGAGATAAACACAGAGGAATGGGAGCACTGTAATGGGAATAACCCAATAAACCTAAGTTCCCTGTGGCAAGGCAGAAAGGACAAACCAATGTTATCCTACAATTACATGCCTTTTTTATTGTCTAAAACTAATTATCAGCTAGTTGAACAAGGCACCAAGAACAAGTTACTATCTCAAAGAAATCTTCAATAGGAGGGGTGACCTACTTAAAAGTGGTTTCAAGACCCCCACCAAACGAGCTTTCCCCTGTGGTTCTAGCTCTCTAGGAGATAAAGGTCCCATAGACCCCTTATCCAGCTCTTGTCCTTAGTTCACCTATCTAATCTTTTAAGCTATGTGTATATCTGTTTCCACACATGTGTGCATATCCACATAGCCCCCTTTCTTTTCTGTTGCTCCCTGGGTTAGTAGCTTCCGGATGGACACTGACCTGGGCTCTGGGTGGCTCTTCCAGACTACATACAATAGTGAAAATACAGTGATTAGAATTAGAAGAAAAGCTGCTAGAATTGCAAAAAATATTTTAGTGGATTGATACTGGCTAAACCATCAGACATGCTTTCAAGTGGATCACTGCCAGAAAGAACTTTTAGTTTATGAGAGTGTATCAAAGATTTTTTTGTGCAAATACTGTATGTATCTCATGAGAAATATTTTCTTGATTAAACAGATATTTTCTAATCAATAGGAATGCTGTTTCATTATATATTTTAGGTATTACACAGAACTGAATATAATTCCAGTACATTTAAAATGAGCTTTAGGGGCTAGAGCGATAGTACAGCGAGTAGGGCGTTAGTCTCGCACGCGGCTGACCTGGGTTCTATTCCCAGCATCCCATATGGTCCCCTGAACAACGCCAGGAGTAATTCCTGAGTGAAGGAGCCAGGAGTAACTCCTGTGCATCGTCGGGTGTGACCCCTCTCCCCCCCCCCCCCAAAAAAAGGCAAAACAAATAAAATGAGTTTTAATTTATAGGTTTTTTTAATTTCATCCCCTATTTCCTGTAAAGGTAAAGGTAAAGGCCCTCCCGTTGATCATCGATTTGCTCGAGCGGGCCCAGTAACATCTCCATTGGAGACTTTGTTGTTACTGTGTCTGGCATATCAAATACTCTCGGTAGCTTGCCGGGCTCTCCGAGAGGGGCGGAGGAATCGAACTCAGGTCGGTCATGTTGGCCGGCTTGTAAGGCGAACGCCCTACCCGCTGTGCTATCGCTCTCACCCAAAGTAAAGGCCCTCCCGTTGATCGTCGATTTGCTCGAGCGGGCCCAGTAACGTCTCCATTGGAGACTTTTGTTGTTACTGTGTCTGGCATATCGAATACTCTCGGTAGCTTGCCGGGCTCTCCGAGAGGGGCGGAGGAATCGAACTCGGGTCGGCCATGTTGGCCGCTTGTAAGGCGAACGCCCTACCCGCTGTGCTATCGCTCCAGCCCTCTATTTCTATTTCTTGTATGCTATCGCTCCAGCCTTCTATTTCTATTTCTTGTATGCTATTTCCTGTATATTCAACAAAGTTTTGCATCTCTAAAGAGATGTGATCTTCATGATTTGGGTCTACTTCAGGGCCAGGCAATTTCTTCTCAAGTTTTATTTCCCAAAAGTTTTATTACTAAGCCTCCCCAACCTGTCTTCCTGCCTCAGAACTATTTTTCTATACTAATAGAATTTTTGTATCAAAGTTTACTGATAGTCTTTTGGGGGAGAAAGCCTCTTAAACTTGATTCCTTTTTCCTTGCTACTTTTAGGGTTCTCTTTGATTTTTGCCAATTATAGTGTTTCTCGGTGTGTGTGTGTGTGTGTAATCACAAAATAAATTAGTGAGCGTGGCGGGCAGTGTTCTTTCTCACCTGCCATGTGCATTTGGTGGCCATGTACCACTTCCCCATCCCAGCCTGCAGCTACCATTAACAGACACGTGAAGGAGGGAACAGGAACACCAAGCTGCTTGGTGATCAGTTGCCATTTATTCCATTCTCCCCACACGCTCGTTCCAGTCTCACTAAGTGCCCCATTCCAGTCTCACACTGCCCCTCATTCCCGTCTCCTCCTGCCCCCCATGCTAGTCTCTCCGCACTCTTTCTTGAAGAAGCCTTGGTCTTGCGCCCAACCTCCAAGCATTGGGGGTAGCAACTACACCATGGTCAGGTAGAACAATCAACATCCGAAAGCCCTTCCTTCTGAAGGAAGACAAAGATCTCCTGCAGCCAAGAGATCCACTCAAGGATGAAATACCACCTAGGGTTGTATTTTTCCTTTCCTTAGTCCAACAGCCATCTTAGCTTTACTTACTTCTAAATAATCTTTCTAGTCATTTTGTATGGACACAGTAAGAGATACATTAAGCTTGCAGGGTGACTCTCCTGGAGACATCTCGCTATAGATCCCAAAACTACAGTGCTCAGGCCAGGTTAGTCTTTCCTAATCCAAGCAGGGTCCTAATCCAGTTGTTACTCTTTGGATCATGACAGAATTTGTCCATGACCATGCTCTAAACTTATAGTTAAGTATTATGGCGCTTGGTCTGACCCATTTCAATGCCAGGGTAGCTGTTTTCCGGTGTCTATACAAAAAGGAGTGCTCTGAAGTAAACTATGCAAAAGACATAAGGAAAAGAGAAAAGCAGTATTTCACTAACAAATCCAGAGTCCTTAGAAGGACCTAATCTTATAAGTCAACAGAGTCTGATTTTGGGGAAGTGATTGACCGGTTGGGGAAGCAGACCACAGAGAAGAGATTAGAGATGAACACAGAGGAATGGGAATGCCTCGAGAGCACTGTGAATGGTGTTACCCAATAAACCTAAGCTCCCTGCGACCAGGGAGAAATGACAAAACAGTGTTATCCTACAGTGCGCATCTTTTTTGTTGGAACTTTTTGTTTATTTGGGGGCCATACCCAGCTATACGCATGGCTAACTCCTGACTCTGCACTCAGGGATCACTCCTAGCAATCATGGGGGTCCATATGTGCAGCTGGAAACCCATTGTACTATTTCTATAGCCCATCACTGTTAAGTGAAGCCTAATTTCTGGCAAGATGGCATATTAACTTGAGACAAGTGGGAACTACTGGGAAAGTTATTTGGTATGTCGTCAAATAGGAAAGGCTTGTCTTCTAGTATAAGTGGAGAGAAGGGGGCCGGAGCGATAGTATAGCAGATAGGGTAATGCTTGTATACAGTCAAGCCAGGTTCAATCCCTGGCATCCCATTTGGTCCCCCAAGCACCAGCAGGAGTAATTCCTGAGTGCAGAGACGGGAGTAACCACTGAGCATTGTTGGATGTGGCACGAAAAAATAAAAAATAAATTGGGACAAGAATCCAACTAGGGAGATAATTAGAGCAGTGTTGGGACTGTCTCTAGCTAGGGACTCATTGGAGACCTGGGGTGATACTGAGTCCTGGTTCTTGGCAAATACCAGGATTCCATATGTAGAAAGGAAGGCATGTGAGGAAGCCTGTGAGGTGGCAGTGGTTTGATGTAGGTAGTGGCATTAACCTTGGGGGTGTAGTCATCAAGATCTGGAAGGTCCAGTCTCAAGAGTGATTGACATGGGAATGGCTAAGTGGGGGTCATTGTATTTGGGTATAAGAGTGAAAGACAGTTTGATTGGACATGGTGTTCTCTTGGGAAATCCTTGGGAAACTGAAGAGGATCTGGGACCATGTAGCTAGACCCTGAACTTAGATGAAATTTAGATGGCGGTGCTTAGGGTTTACTTCTACCTCCGCACTAAGGGATCACCACTAGCAGGCTTTGGGGACCTTATGGGGTACCAGGGATTGAACTTGGGTTGATCATGTGCAAGGCAAACACCCTACCCACTGTACTATCACTCCAGCCCCATCTTAGGTGGAGCTATTAATCCCTTCTGTTGTTAGTGATGATGAGCTGCCAAGACATAATAGATACCACTTACCTGGCATTGCCACTGACTTGGGATGTTGGGAAAGAGTGATGAACTGGAGTAAAGGTCTCAGTAACAGAGGTTGCTTTTGGATTCATCTATCCATCATGACAGGGCCATGTAACCTTTGAGGATGTGGCTGTGTACTTTTCCAAGGAGGAGTTGGGGCTGCTGGATGAGGCTCAGAGGTACCTGTACCATGAAGTGATGCTGGAGAACCTGTCACTTATAGCCTCAGTAGGTAAGGACCTTTTCCCTATCCACTGTACCATCACTTACATATCTTTTCTCAGTGACCAGCTTAAGCCTCTGGGTATCCAGTGTCCTGTGTTTATGCTAATGGGGGTAAACAGGTCTCTGGGGACTATTGGGTTCCTATGCCTGGTGGAGGAGCAGGAGGAAGGCATGGTTCAGATCTAAATAAAAATCATTACAGGGAAAATGTCGATGTTTAACACAGCCTTAGTGCTAAGGCAATCTTTCCTTGGAGACATTTTGCCTACTTGTCATTTCTGCTCTGATTTCTTACCTCTTCTTGTCCCTCATCACTCGTCCCACATAGTTCCCCTTATTGTATTGTATTTTCTAAGAGGCCTACATTCATTGGTCCTGGGGTGTATGTATATTCTTTTTGTTGTACAGTATGTAGTTTACATTTTTGTAAAATTTGGAGCCATAGCAGAGTGGGTAGGGAGTTTGCCTTGCATGCGGCTGACCCGGATTTAATCCCTGGACACCATTCAGGATTAATTCCTGAGTGCAAAGCCAGGAGTAACCCCTGAACATTACGGGGAATAACCCCAAAAGCCTTCCTCCCCCCCAAAATAAATATTTTATTTTGCTTTTTTTGGGTCACACCCAGCGATGGACAGGGGTTACTCCTGGTTCATGCACTCCTGGCCATGCTCGGGGGACCATATGGGATGCTGGGAATCGAACCCGGGTCGGGCCGCATGCAAGGCAAATGCCCTACCCGCTGTGCTATCATTCCAGCCCCCTCCCCCAAAATATTTCAAAGATTCACCAAGAATTGCAGAGTTATTTGTGATTAGATTTAGGAATAGTGTTCCAGCACCAGTCCCTTCAACAGTCACCCTCTCATATTTGTCTCCCACCCACCTGCCTCTAAAAGGAACTTTTTATAACTTTTTGCCCACATGGCAAAGCCTGGCAAGCTACCCGTGATGTATTCAATATGTCAAACACAGTAACAAGAAATCTCACGCTGGAAATGTTACTGGGCCCGCTCGAGCAAATCGATGAACAACGGGAGGACCATGCAGTGCAGTGACACAGGTTTACATACTGTTGCCCATAGTTTCCTCCATAACACCTACATTATCTTTCATCCCCTCTTCCAGTTGAACTCTTTCCTCCACCACTATTGTGTTTCATTTCCTGTCCTATCACCTATTATACATGTGCACCCCCCCCCCCCCCCATGTATATTTAACATTTCTTGGTCAGGGTTGGAGTGATAGTACAGTGGGCTGTGTAAACTCAGAAAGACAGCAGCGGTCTATCTCTCCCGCTGCCCACATTCGGTAGTTTCACGCTGGTTCCCCCACCCCAGGGAGGTCGATGGCAATGGGACTGGTTTTTTCTTTTCTTTCCTTCTTTCTTTCTTTCTTTCTTTCTTTCTTTCTTTCTTTCTTCTTTCTTTTTTTTGTATTAAATCACTGTGAGATACAATTACAAGGCTTTCACTTTTGAGTTTCAGTCATACATTGATCAAACACCCATCCCTCCACCAGCGCACATTTTCCACCACCAATGTCTCCAGTATTCCTCCCCCATATCATGGATGTTTGTAAATGGACCTTCCCACCTTACTGTGTATATGCTTCATCAGCATCATTCTTTATTTGGGTGACAACACCCTGCAGTGCTGAAAGCTTACTCCTTCCTGGATTTATGGTTGAGGTACACTGGCAGTGCTTAGGGGATCATGCTGGGGTCGGGCCTAGTCAGCCATGTGCAAGGCAAATGCTTTAACCCCTATATTATCTCTCAGGCACTATATGTTTTTTTATTGTTGTAACAAGGTCACATGTTTACAATAGTATAAATGTTTATGATCTTGACATTACTATCTAATTGCCCAGTAACTTCCACTTCTCTTATATTCTAGTCCACCTCTTCAGTATCTGAAACACACCCTCCCTCTGCTTGGTAATCTCAGTTATGTAATCGAAGGCCAAGGGTTTGTGATTTTCCATACTATTTATTTCCTTGTTTTGTTTTTCTGTACCACAGATGAGAGAGATCATCCAGTATTTGTCCTTCTCTTCTGACTTAATTTCACTTAACATGATACCCTTCAGTTCCATTCAAGATTACATCTTTCCTTTCAGCTGCTTAGCATTTCATTGTGAATATTGCCACAGCTTCTTTATCCATTCATACTTCATCAGCATTATTGCACTTTCAGGTTGTTGCCATGGAATAAAAGCTGAGAAGGTCCCTTCTGGACAGTATGTTTCTACAGAAAGAGTGCCACAGAGCAATACTTTGGCATCACATCTGTCCATTCTGAAGACACGTCCGGCATCACATCTGTCCTTTCTGAAGACATGTCCCTTTGAAAAATGCTCCATGGTTGCAATAAAAAAATTTTGCCTTGGTACTCATCAAGGGATGCATCCTGAGCAGAATCTATCTGCTTCTGTGACAAGTGGGAACCAGTTTTTTCTCTCATCAAATCAACAACAGCATCAGAGACAGCACAGTGGGGAGAAATGTGTGATAAGGGTGGAGAACAGGGCCTTCCCTTTAAATAGCTGTAAAGTCCTTTCGTCCAATAATAATTTTCCATGTAAAGAGCATGAGAAGGATTGCCTGGGAGTCCAGGACTCTGTTCAGCATCAAGCCACTGACAGTGGAGAACATTCACAGAGAAACAAAGAAAATAGTGAGATCTCGCTCACTCTGCCGAAACTGTTCAAGTGCAGTGACTGTGGGAATGCCTTTATCAAAAAGAAAAGACTTCTTGAGCACCAGAGAATTCACACAGGAGAAAAACCTCATGAGTGTCACGAATGTGGAAAGTATTTTAGACAGAGGTCCACCCTCTGTGAACACCGGAAGCTTCACAATAAAGCAAAACCATTCAAGTGTAGTGAATGTGGGAAGTCTTTCATCTACAAAAGGCGATTTATTGAGCACCAGAGAATCCACACTGGAGAAAAGCCTCATGAGTGTCACAAATGTGGGAAATTTTTTAGACACAGATCCAGTTTAACTCAACACCAGAAACTTCACAATGAAGAAAGACCATTCGGGTGCAGTGACTGTGGGAAGTCTTTCATCTACAAAAGGCGATTTATTGAGCACCAGAGAATCCACACTGGAGAAAAGCCTCATGAGTGTCATAAATGTGGGAAATTCTTTAGACAGAGGTCCACCCTCTGTGAACACCAGAAACTCCACACTAAAGTTTTTAACAGGTGAATTAGAGGAATCTTCTGGTTCTTCCAACACTTTCAACATCAGAAAGTTGACAGTGGGGTTCGTGCAATATTACAACAGGTAGGGCCTTTGCTTAGCACGCAGCTGACCTGAGTTTAATCCCTGACATTGCATATGGTCCCTGAGCACTGCCAGGGGTAATTCCTGAGTGCAGAGCCAGGAGTAACCCCTGAGCTCCAATGGGTATGACTCCCCACCACCATCACCACCATTACCCCACCAAAAAAAAAAAAAAAGGTTAACAGTGGAGAAAAACTGTGATTGTAACATGTTTGGGGAAATCTTGAACATGGTATTTAACATTGAGTGCTAGAGAAAAGCTCACACTGAGGTCAGATTTGGGAGTGTAGTCTGTGTAAGTATGACACATGTGAGTAATCCCCCATCTGTGAAAGTTACTGAGAAAATCAGCACTGGACAACGATCTTATGGGTGCAGCAACTGTGGTAAAAGGTTTAAATTTAGCTTCAGCCTTGTTAAGCACCAGGGAATTCACACTGGAGAAAATAAAAAGCCATATGAATGCAGTAAACAAGGGAAGGCCTTAATGAGTTTGTCTTCCTTAATCAGTACTAGAAGGTTCAAACTAGAAAAAGACTTCAGCCTTCTGTGGAATGTCATCACTTTATTCAGCATCCATCACCAGATTATAGATTTTGCAGGGATTATTTGAGGGTAGGTTTTCAAAGGTTTAATCTTCAGAGCTGGTTGTTTTGTTTTGGGACCACTGCATTATCTCTCTGGCTTCCTCTTCAAGAATTTTTTTTCCTCTTCAAGACTTTTTAACTTTTTAACTTTGTGTATTTGATAATCTAAAAAGTGTAGATTCAGTACAAGTTCCAAGTATTAGCAAGATTGCTTGAACTTTCAGATGTGCCAAGTATGTATAAGAGGATTTCAACACCACCCTGTGGCATGTTTTCGTAGATCACAGAAGAGGTCAGGTAATGCAGACCTTAAGGAAATTAACAGTAAAGTGAGCCTAACAGGGTCCCAATTTAGCAAGACCCAGCTTTTTTTTTTTTTAATATAAATTCCTATTGACCATCAGTAAGTCTTTGAGTCTTTGAGGAAGTTCTTATTCCTCTCTCATGCTCAGGGGTCACTCCTGCTGGGACACAGGACCATATTTGTTGCCAGGGATTGAACCCAGGTTGGCCATGTGCAAGACTCATGACTTAATCACTATACTAGCTCTTAAGCCCTATTTTTATTTTACTTTATTTTATTTTTGTTTTTTGGGCCACACCTGGCTATGTTAAGGACTTATTCCTGACTCAGCACTAAGGGATTTAAACTGGGTCAGCTGTGAGCAAGGCAAGTGCCCTAACTGCTGTACTATCTCCAGACCCAATTTAAATGTTGTAAAGTGCGCTTAAAGATAACACAATGAGTCCACACAGACATAAATGAGCATATTAAACATACCAGGAAAAGAAAATGGTTTCTTAGTAGTGTAGGATTAGAAGTAAATTGTACGCAGACAAGATGGAGTCAGTAAACTGTACCTCCTTGGATTTGTGAAAGGCTGGAGATACATGGCATTTGTCTAATTTCAAGGACGAAATTATACAGGGAGAATAGTAGCCAGAGAAAATTTATACGAAGGAGTGAATGACGTTATTAGCACTATTGGGAAAAGGTTATCATGGGATCATGGCCTAACACAGAAGTCAGGTCACATTTTTGTGGCTTTTTTTTTTTTTTCAGTTTTTGGGTTACAGTGATGATCAGGTGTTACTTCTGGCTCTGCACTCAGGAATTATTCCTAGTGGTGCTCCAGGGCCATGTGGAATGCTGAGATTGAACTCGTATTTGGCTCATTGAAGGCAAGCACCTTACCCGCTGTGCTGTCTCTCCAGCCCTTCTGTGGTTTTCTTGCCAATGAATTACTTTCAGTTTTCCTTAATGTTATCAAAGACTGAACCCAGGTCTCAAGCATGCAATGCAAGTGCTCTCCTTAAGAGACGCATCCCTTGACCCTGCATAAATTTAAATAACCATAAGCAAACACCATGACACACCAACTGATGGAAAATTTACAAAGTTAGGGGCTGGAGAGTATAGTGATGAAAATCTTGTCTTGCATTCACCTAGCCCAGGTTCAATTCTCTGAGCTTTGCTGGGTGTGCCCCCCCCCCCAAAAAAATCTATACAGATTATTGCAAGAAAAATTTACTCAGGAAAAATGTTGGATTGTTTCAGGTCAGTAGAAACTAAAGATGTAGAAGTGTAGATATTGACAACTGAATGTTTCTAGACCAATAAAATTAACTATGAAGGACTTCAGTATTATGATTTACTAGATTTTACCATTTGCACTCCAATTATACATATAATACAATGTCTAGCTTTCGAGGAAATAGATAAATTATTTCTTGGTCATGGAATACAGTGTTCTCCCTCTGAGTGTTCAAACTCTGTGACAGCAAGATAGTACAGCTAGTAAGATGCTTGCATTGCACGTCGCCAACTCAAATTCAATGCCAAGCATCCCATATGATCTCCCAAGCACCATCAGGAATCCTAAATGCAGAGCCAGGAGTAACCCCTGAGCATTGTCCGATTTGACTCAAAAACAAAAAGGGAGAGTATTGAAATCTTTATATGTAGAGAAAAGATTTCAAATCACTGAAGAAGCTAGCAAAGCACCTGACCTGTTTATTCTGAAATCTTATTTTATTCAAGACCTTATCCTAGTTTTCCTAAAACCTATTTCCTGTTTCTTGCAAACTTGACATCTGTGTCAGTCTTCCTTGTTATAAAGGAACAGGACCATAGATTTGGGAACTGGTCCTCCTTTCATTACATGCCAAACTATAAGAACGAGCACTGGGAAGATAGATGCTACCCTGAGTGCTGCGGGGTGTGCCCTCAAAATGAAAAATTAATAATAAAATTAGAAAAATAAGCTGTAGGAAAGCCTTTACCTGCTGGCAGAAGTAGATAGAACTGGCCTTCTGCACTGGAGAAGCATTTCCAATAACCCAGGTCAGCCAATTGCAATTCAGCTCATTTATTCCTAGTCATCTCTGTCATAAAGAACTGTCCCGCATCTCTTCCATCAGCCAGAGAGTAAGCTCGAAGAGAGGACTTTGTTTCCACTTTGTGTTTTTGTCCCATAAAACAAACCCCTGTTCAGGGATTCCTCATGGTGGACTGGGGAGCTATACCTTATCGGGTGCCAGATATCACACCTGGTCTTTGGGGGCACAGCCAGTGGTTTTCAAGGCTTAATCCTGGTTCTTCTCTCAGGGAACATTCCTGGAGGGGCTTGGAGGGCTAAATGGGGTGCCAGGAATTGAACTTGGGTCACCTGTGTGCAAGCCAAATGCCCTACCTGTTGTACTATTGCACCTGCCCCAGTTTTTCTATTTTCAGTTTTGATTTTGTCTTTTGGGTCACACCTGGCAATGCTCACATGACATGCTGGGCATTGAGCCTGGGTCAGGCCTCTACAAGCACTCTATTCGCTGCAGTATCTCTGTAGCCCTAGCCCCAGTTTCTTAAATAAAAAATTAAATTCCCAGCATATATCCTGTTAAAATGGTCTGATTTCTGTGATCACAGGAAACACTTGCATAGACCCTCCTGTGTGTCAGGGCCAGCAACTGCCTGTCAATCTGCTTTAGGGACTGGAGCGGTACATAACCTCAGCCACTTCATCTTGTTAGGCCCTTGGGATTATTCAAACTTTTTTTCTTTTTTCTTCTTTTTATTTTGGGACCACACTCAGCAGTGCTCAGGGGTTACTCCTGGCGATGTGTAGGGGACCATATGGGATACCAGGGATCGAACCCAAATCCGCTGTGAGCAAGGCAAGCACCCTACCAGCTATATTGTTCCAGCCCCAGGATCATTCAGACATTCCAGTTTCCACAGTAAGTTCTATTGGAGCATATTTCTGTTACTTCCCTTCATTTTGTGGTTTCTCTGAAAATTCTCCGTTCTTCCCTTTAACACTTATTTTGCTTCACTGTTCTAATTCTGTAACCTAAGTTCATTACTAAACTCATGATTTTTTTTTTCACTTCAATCTCAAGTAGTATTTTACAAGTTTATAGTGAAGACTTTAAAAGAACTGTTGTGACATTTTTGTCTTCAATAAATTACACTGATATACTACTTTTCCCTCTCAAAATCCCCAACCTGGGGGAGAAAACTTCACATTTATTGTACATACAGGCATACAAGAAAGTCTCTGTGATCACAGCTTGCCTTCCCTTGCCAGACATCCTGGTTAGTATCCAGGAAACAAGACCAGACTGAGTGGGTTTAGAATTTTCCAGCCAGAATTTAGTCCTGACAAGTTCATTTGTGTTGGTCAAGACTATTTTTTTTCTTCTCAGGGTTTATTCCTCGCTCTGCAGTTGGGGATCATTCCTGGCAGACTTGGGGGCCATATCAGATGCTGGGGAATATTCAAAGGTCCGCTGTGTGCTAGACAAGTGCCCTGCCTGCCCTAAAATTGATAGTCTTGATCCAAAATTACTCTGGGACCAGAGAGATGCTCAGTTGCCGAGCTGCTGTTTGGCATGCAGGAAATGCTTGTGTGTGTGTGTGTGTGTGTGTGTGTGTGTGTGTGTGTGTGTGTGTGTGTTATACTCATTAAAGGCTGTACTAGCTCTACAATCCTTGAATGCATATCTTGCTACTTGCCTTACTGTATCTTTGCTTGCTTTTTCTCCTTGAATATGTACTTCTTTTACTGTCTTAATTTTAAGATGACTTTAAACCTTCTAAATAATATTTGGGGCTGGAGCGATAGCACAGCGGGTAGAGCATTTGCCTTGTACACAGCCGACCCTGGTTCGATTCCCAGCATCCCATATGGTCCCCTGAGCACTGACAGGAGTAATTCCTGAGTGCAGGAGCCAGGAGTAACCCCTGTGCATTGCCGGGTGTGACCCAAAAAGAAAAAAAAATTTTTTTTGATTAATCATTATTATCATAATTAGTAATAGGAAAGAAAACAGCA